GGATACCACCGCAGTACTACTTAAAAGGATACCACTCTGGAACTACTTAAAAGGGATACCAAATCCTTAAAAGGATATCACCCTTGAATTTCTTAAAGGGATAGGACTATCAAGATGTTACTGTATAAGTACATATCAGTGTTGGGAGATTTGAAGGGATATCACATGGATCAGGGTTCAGGTATCTACAGCAAGACTCTATGTCTGGTAATATATGCTCAAATGGATGACCCCTATCACTTAAGACTACCTGTCAGAACACGACAAACGACGGAGCTTAGAGCTAGTGCTATATCCAATTATCCCTCAGATGTCATTTGTCTCATTACTGCCATATTAGGCACTAAAGGGCTTATTACCCTGTGCCTGCCTAGGGTGCTGCCCCTATTACCGTGCTGCTTTTTGGAGGTCGCCCTGTGGCCACCTCTATGATCCTGGGTGAGGCCCAATTATACAAATCCCAATATTGTGGTTTGCCCTGCTGGGACAATTTGACAACACCTTTCTGTCATTTATACAGACCCTGCTGGGGTCCACTGGCATTATTTACACTACAACAGATACCCTGCTGGGGTACCCCATATCACACACCCTGCTGGGGTTGTTTTGATACTTTGAGACAATAAATTGCACACAGTAAATTGCACACTACTACACCCTGCTGGGGGCTGCATGGTGCATTGCACACAATGAAATGGATTGTGCTCTCATCCAGTCTGTTTTATTTGGCCGCTACCCACGCTTGACGGGTACATACCCTGTGCACCTGAGGTGATCTCTGACTACGTATAAGCCATTCTATTCGGCAAAAAAGGGGACAGAGTTGCAAGCTTCAGTGCAGAATATATCCCCCATGGCGGTGCATTAATTATTGATAGAGCTGCTCAATGTGCATAGGGATTTCAGATAGTGCACATACACCTTTTTATTTGGTTTTTATTGTATGTATTCATGCTGATGTGTACTAAAGTCATTGCCGCCACCAAGAAGGAGTACTCTCTATCAGGCTGATGGCCAGCACTGATGGTTCATACCCTGTGCAACCGGGGTGAGCCCCCTACAGCACTGCTGCCTCTTCTCCTACCCCTCTCAACAGCGAGCTCGAGGATTGAAAATCCGAACTTTGGATCTGGGAACAGCATTTACAGGTTCAGACCAGGTGCTCTTGGGGTAAGACCCCTACGATAGGTGAGTCACACTACCCGACTGAAAGGAAGTCTTATGGCAACAGCCTCTACCTACAGCTGAAGGAATACCTCCATTGATAATGAATCATGATACGGTATGGGTTTATGCACTGTACCTATTCTGCGGCCTGCAGTTAAAGGCCCACGCCCTATGCACTGGGCCCAGCTAGGCGTGCACTGCACTAAAATGCCGAACAGAGGCATGCGGTTACAACCGCTGAACAGGAGTTCCGAGCCGCCTACTTAACGATATATATTCCCCTTGAGGTGAATTTAATAATGGAAGAGGTGACTGACACTCTGTATCAGGGCAATGGCCAGCACTTAAGGGTTCATACCCTGTGCACCCGGGGTGAGCCCCCACTATACGTGCGCTGCACGGTGCTGCTAAGCGTAGGCAATGCTATGGCAACCTCTATGTACTGGGTGAGCCCCAGTCTGTTTTATTTTGCCATGATTCGGAATAGACCCGCAAGGGTTTCCGTGAACACTGCCTACTGTCATAGTAGACTGATCTGTTTGCCCTGCATCCTGTGCCTGAATACTAGTTTGTGCCTTACACAGGGGTATCCCTTACTACGATAAACCTACTTGACAATGTTATGCACTCGTGGCTTTGCAGCCTCTTGCTTAGAATGTCCATATCCACTGATGGTCGGACAAACCCATGCCCTTCCATGCCGGTTAGAACAGCTCAGACGACTATAGTGACCAACGGAGGAGTTCTTTCAGGATTCACAACCTTACGATTGGCGATGCTGGACGTATATAAAAAGTGTTTCTGCTCCTTGCAGGAAACCCCAGTGTTGGCCTCTCCCATAGGATGCCCATAGCAGCACTCCTCCGCACTGACGGATGGTTGGCGGTACTGGGCGCCAAGATAGTCGGAACCCCAGGCACAAAGTTCCAAAGAGAACTTATTAGACACGCAAGGGTCCCACGGCTTTCATAAGGGCCAAAACCCCTAGGAGGGAGGTGTTATGCGATTACCTTTACAAGGGATTCTATGGAACTGGTTGGCAAAAGAGCCGGTCGTCGACCACTTTGGGACATCTGACCCGAGATCCGCTTCCGCTAGCTCTATTAGCCATATAGAACGAGAGTCAACCAATGGTGCTCCAGATAAGCGGACAGAGAACACTGTACGCACAGATACCATCAATATATCTCTTACTACATCCACAGGGGATTTCACCACATCTAGGTGAAAGGCACTCAATCCTGGGGAAGACCACTTTCACGTAGTGAACCGACTTGCGTTCAGGACCTAAAGACACGTCAGGACGGTCTTCTTGCTTCCCGCTCGACCACCTTACAAAGTTTTCAGGAGACATCCTCTCCTTCCCGATCCAGTAGCTCGGAGCCTGGTGGGCCCTGATAAGCTACCGAAAGAAGTAATGAATACAGGCGGGGAAGACGAGACACTCTCTTCCGGGAGAACCTCATTCAGATCACTCCAGGGAACTGAAAACTCATTAACACCCACGTTCATCCGAGAACCGTCTGGAACCTCTTGTAGAAGACTATTCGCTCAGAGGATTCGTAGACTATTCCACAACCTGGGAATATTCGTTCGACTCTCCGCGGCACCACTGCGACCCTGTACGTTGTATACCTAGACTTCTTGGTCCTATACTTCACAATACATTGATTGATAAAGAAGTACTAGATCGGTTGCACCCTATTGCAGGTAACCACAGATTAGGCGGTCAGGTTTCACATCCACCGGGATGGACTAACTCACGTTTATCAGACAACATGTAGGCTCCTTCGATCCCCGTCTTCTTCACAGAAGATCAACCCATCTCCCAGGTGAGACACATCTCATAGGGGCCGACTGATTTGGATATTACCACTCGTCACAGTATAAGTCGAGGAACAATGGTGATCGCTCTCCGTCCGACCGGACCTCCCCGGGGGACTTATGCTTCTCATGCTTACAAGGTCTACAGTAATTCTTGAGCAGGCGAGGATCTTCTCCTGCTACATTCATGACAAACAATTCCTCACGGAGCCGTAGGGTAGCCTTCTATCCCAGGAGGGTCGGCTACCTGGGGACCTAGACCCGCTTTGGGGGTTTCTCGGCAGGTCAGCGGACGATCGCAGGCTGCCAGGGACCTCTTGGGAGTCTGGGAACCCAGGGATGCGACAACCCTACCCCTACATCTGGACATTCCCAGCCTGTCTGGTTCGGTCCTGCATCTTGATCACTTATGTGAGGATGGAGACGGAACTGCAGCCCGTATCACTGCCTGAGGATGCCCAAGGGACTAGGATCCTCTAGGATACCAACTACCCAATGTCATACCTCTTCAGCTTATGAGTTGTGGAGGTCGTTCTCCTCTCTCTCTACGGGACTAAATATCCTGCTGACAAACGGTCAGACTTGGTCTTGTATAATTTCCCGTTAGATGGTGTATACGTGGGCGCTCAATGGGGAAGACCTCCCCACAATGCCGAATACTGGGTCTCTCGGCACACCGTAGGACTCTTATTTAGTTCTATACTCTTTTCTCAGCGTTAAAAATGCAAAGTACGAAGCCTTCTGTCATGTGGTAAAATTGAAGATTATGCTAGCTTTAGTGTACTTATAATCTTAATTTTAATAATGACAGGAGGCGAATATTTCCCCCCCTGCTTCGCTGCCCACCCTTTTTATTTGTTTGCTTTGCAGATATCAGGTGCTAAGGTAGGTTTGCCTCTCACATTGGTGCTTAAATGATATGTTCGTACTTCCATTAATATGGAATCCTCATTAGAGTTCTCATTACAATCACTCAGTTATCAGATTATAGTTACTATATTCTCCAATGGGATGTTAGGTGGTACGTTAATTTGAGTTACATGTTCGTGACTATGTCTAAACCTGTCACACATTCTCTTTTCAGTATAATTCGTCTCTGAAGACAATTGGCAGTTCACATGAAACTATTGGAGATTTTATCCTTTGGATTTGTCTCAACCCTGAACTCTTTTTCGTTGTTTGTATAGAATTCTTTGGAAGTTTGCTCCTTCGCACATGGGAACTCAGAGTTATTATCAGTTTTATTATTTGCTATATATTTACTTCTGCTTGTTGTCGCTTTCTGAAAGAGGAAATGATAAGGTCCGGTTCTCCTGTGATGTACATCCTGCTCTCCTGTCATTGGTTCTTTTTTCTATGTGTTTCTTTACTGCTGTATGGAGTTAGTAAAGAGAGATATGCAAAATACTTGCCTCCTGTCATTATTAAAATTAAGATTATTAGTACACTAAAGCTAGCATAATCTTCAATTTTATGTTATGTTATAGTCAGCTTAAGTTCAGTTGATACAAATGGGTTTATACTATAGTGAGGCTTGGTCAGTGTTTATGCTAGTCTGTAGTTGTCACAGGTTATGCTTGCATACAGTGATAGCTTTACAGTCAGGCTAGTACATTTTGATTATGAGTGGTAGTCAAGCTAGATTAGTCGCTTTATTGTTATTGTCACCCTGGCTAATCTGAGTCAGTGGGGAGCTGTCGTCGTGGTGGTCCCGAGACCGCTCATGCAGGGGGGGTCCCACCACTAACCGGCACCTGCTCTGCTCGTTCTATGTAGCAGGGGCGAATGCCTGCCAGAGCAGGTGTCAGAACACAGTCCAGCCATGCTGCCTTGTAAGTTTCTCGTTGGTTTCTCTGGGGCTGCAGCTGCGTTCTGGTGTGTCCGTCCCTTTTGGTCCTCTCAGGGCTGTGCACCGCTGTGGTGGGAGACTTGGTGTCGCCTGTGTGTGGTCCTCCGTTCGTGGCCCGTTTTGTTGCAGGTTGGACACGTGGTGAGTAGGAGGTCCGTCCTCAAGCAGGGGAACGACACTTGGCGATCAGCTCGGTCTCTGCTCTCGGCAATGGTCGGATCGCGGGGTATTTCCGTACTCCCGCTATCGTTGCTGGTTTGGATAGTTGCTGGGGCAGGTAATAGACAGCTCGCTTTCCTGCATGGCGGTGTCTAGAGGCAGAAGCTGTTGTCTCAGCCGCTGGTACGGGGTGGGTGGTGGTCCCTCCTTTGTCTCTTACGCACATGGCGTCCGCCATTTTGGACGTAGCGGCTGGACCCCCCGGTTTTCGCCACGGTTTCTCGATTAGGGTGAGGGCCAGGATCACCCCCCCCCCCCGGTCCATAGGGGGGGAAACAGGGCCGGGTCCGCTTTGGTTCGGGCTCTCGGCTGGGTTCTGTATAGCAGGATAGTGGGGCAGCGGCCGTCCGCCTCATTCACCGCCGGAGAAGGCCTCAGTTGGGGCAACAAAATTTTCTCCTCCAGTGGTCTGTGGCTTGATAAGCCAGTCTCTCCCTGATTCCAGCAGACCTTCTGCTTTGGGCACTGTCGCTGTCGGTCAGTTTTTCTGGCGAAATATACAGTTTTTGATCGTATTTGGTGCTGTGTAGCAGGAGCTTATTTTGCCTGTGACCATCCAGCTCGGCGGTCTGGCCCCGCCCCCCATCTTCTATATTTTTATATATTATATATAATTTTAGATATATTTTATATATATATATATATATTTTATATATATTATGTTTATTTGTTTATGTTTTTTTTTTAATCTATTTTTACATCCATATATATATATACTCTTCATGAGTTGGATGCCTGTTGACAATCTGTCCATAGTCTGTGTCTATCTTATGTAAATCTGAATATACACTGAGTAGGTGATCGTATTTCGCGCAGATTTGTTTACATCCAGGTTGTTCGCTTTGTTAGCAGTAGTTGGTGCACATGTGCGATTTGATTCGCAAGTACCCATGCGCAAGTTTCGATCTGTACGTGAGACGGATACAGCCAAAGGCCAGAAATGACATTGGTCTAAAGGAAATGAATACTGAGCTCCACGGTGGAACGCACTCGACTGCCATCTGATCGAAGGTCTGAAATTAGGAGCCATATATAAACTGAGAAGCCGTTACAGTGTCCGAGATCCCTGAGGAAGTCCATTCATTAGACGAAACGCGTTGGATGCTTGTTTAGAACTTTTTTTTGTTTTGTTTTATTATACTGTTTCACTTTTTGGCTATTGTTCTTGCTCTTTCTAGCCCATACCAGCGTGCTAATTTTAAGGTCCACCTTGGGTGGATATATTTTCCTGAACATACTGCCTTCTGGTAAGGGCAATTTTAATCATTAAACGCGTTGTTTTTACTTTATCATGCTATTTCCTTTTTTTCCATAATCTACAGCACCATCAGATGTATTTCTACCCCTTTTCTGGGGAGACATGCCTGAATTTACTGACGTCTTGTGAGTTTTCTCACTTCCCCGCCCCCTTCTTGTTTACTGTATTACACTATGTACAGTTTTTGTTTTTTCTAGATATGATTCTGACATTTATATAACCAGGTGGTATTTCTTCATATAGTGTGGAGCTTGTTCTCTTCTTATACTCTGTATAAGTGTTTGTTTATCTTTTCTTAGTGTATACCATTGATACCATATAATTAAAGTGCAATAATTAAACCGGGGATATTAAATGGGGACAAGTTAAAATCTCCATTCCAGGGCAGATCCTGGGCAGGTAAACAGTGTGCATGTGTGTCGGTCAGTGAGTGTGTGTCTGATTACAAAAAGGGGTGGGGTTTATAGATGGAGTGTTGGGGTCTTTGCCATTGAAAAATGAATTTCTGGACTGGACATTTGCAAAAGGGCGGGTATACTAATATGACCACACTCACCTGGGTGCAAAAAACAAAGTTCTGCACCCAGGCATCTGAGACCCTAGGATCGGCCCTGACCTATTAAGACCTACAGGTTCTCAACTTTAGAACTCCTTGATCCAAAACAATATTTTTTGTTTAATTAACTTAGGCCTATCACCCCTTTTCATCAATTCAGGTAGATAAAAGGTTACCTGAAATTGTAATTGAGAAATCCTATGTTTAGTCATATGAGAAAGTTTGGCCTCTGGTAAATCCAACTTATTTGCACAAATAGTGAAATAATATTTCAAAAGCCTATTTTTTACTTTCTGTATGTCTTGGCTTCCAAATTCCTCTGATCGTGATCCAACTGATCATCTCTGGGATGTGATGGAACAACAAATTCAATCTTGCAACTTGCAGGACCTAAAAGATCTGCTGCTAAAGTCTTGGTGCGAGATACCAAAGGACACGTTCAGAGGTCTTGTGGAGTCCATGCCTTAATACATCAGAGCTGTTTTGGCAGCATGAGGGGAACCTACACGATATTAGGCAGGTAGCTTCTGGCTGATCAGTGTATATGTAGATTCCTTAGATTCTCAAATCCCTTACCTGTTATAGTGTGGGTACATTGCAGCTCTTAATAACACTGGCACACGATGTACACTCCAAACATGGGTGTGTGCCAAACTTATTTTGGTAATGTGTCATAGCCAGAAACAACAACACAACCCTGGGGACAAGTGATTGCTCATTGTCAATTCTTTATCTGCATTCTGAACAAAAATATAACCTCTTAAATTAACAAACAAGGCATTTTTTTTTAAATCATTCACCTGGTGACATTGAAATCATTCTGTAGTACCTGGAATACTATTTGCAGTCAGAATGGAGGATCATTGCCAAGTGCTGTCTTTCGTCTGACAACCTACACAATAAACACGTTGTAGCAGGTATTAAAATGGAAAATGAAACTGACATTAAAATATGAAACGTTGTGCCCATGAAATGTACGATTCATTGAGTCGGAAGAACGAGGGTTTCCTCTTGACAATCATTTCTTTTGTATTACTGTTGGCAAGCATGACAACTAATTTCATCAATGCTGAAATTGGAAAGAAGTAAAACAATCTAAAAAGTGAGAAATGATTCTTATAAATATTTTTTACAATATACATCATTCTGTCGCTGGAACCTTTCTCCTGCATGTATTATAATAGATATAAATAAAGTTTCAAAAAATTCCAGGTGCTAAGAGTAGTTTTAGAATGTCTGGATAATGTTGGACAAACAGACGGACAGATTCACCAACTGACGAGAGATGGGCTACATAAATAAGATAAAGTAATATAGGGAAAGAAAGGAAACAGAAGCACAATGAACCATTTGTATGGCAGATGGCTACTGGAATTGCAGTTTTTTTATATAAATAAATTTCATTTAGCAGTGCTACACGGTTATCTGTGTTTTGGAGAGTAAGTGTCCTTGTGTGAGTCATTCATTGGTTCAGTAATAACAAGCCAGTTTTTGTTTAATAAAAATAAAATGTATCACTCCTTTAATTGTGCCAGGGTTGTATAAAGCTGAGTATACTAATTAAGATGCTCCAAAGTAGTATTAGGTTTTTAATGATAAGATTGTGAAAAAGGCATGTACTATCAAGGGTCATTGTTCTAGGGTCTGAGATCACATCATCACGATTTAGTTATTATGAATGTTTGTTGCACTTCTAAAGTTTGGGATAATGGATTAGAAAGAAAATCTTACAGATTTTTCATGGATTCAATAGCCCTATTACTAATAATCTATACTTTGAGTCTGGAGTACCTTGCTTTAAGCTACCGTAATACATTGTGCTTGTAGGTTTATTTTTATACAGGTGGCGTGGGCGAGACTCAAATATGAATAATAATCTGTTAATTAACATACAATAATTAAGACACTATGTTACAACTATAACATGTTTTGTGTCTCTTGGTATTGTGGTTGAATATGTGAATAGAAAATACATAAAACACTGCAATATTACCTACCGATTTTATTATAACAAATTATGGTAGCCTAAGGAGTGATCTGATGTTCTTTGCTACATCCTGGAATAAGGGCAGACTTTGCCTTGATGTGACTGAGGCACATGGCATTAAAAGAAAAAAAAGGAAGCAATATGGTGGAAAACAAATCCTACATACTGCCCCTAGTGTTCACTCTATAGTATTAATAATTATTAACATAGCATTATGCAAACAAGAGTCCCTGGCAGTCCATCCCCTTTGTGCTGCTTAGGCTCATGAGGAAGCTTTAGCCTCAACAACAATAGGGAGTTGTGATTGGCTGAGAGTGTCAGCTGACCACTTTCAGCCAGTCACAGTGCTCATTGCTGGTATGAACTGGTATGGCTGGAAGGAAGTGCAGAATCTCTACCTTAGGCCCACCTCCAGTAGAGGGCAGGCAATTGTTAGCCAGGGGCCTGTATTTAGTGTTAAACTGCTCGAAATGGTTTAACACTGAATGGAGGGACAGCGCCAGGGGACTTCAGACACTATAACAACTTAAATGAGATAAAATGGTTATACTTTGTTCCTTGAAGTTATAATCATACTGGGCAAATTAAACAACTTATCTCAGGCTTTTTATATGCCTAGCAATAAACTGAACAAATATATGTTTCTTTGTTGTGTTTCAGCTATTCAGCTCAGATATACGTTTTGTTGCACTGTGTAATTGCATTCCCAGAAGAGCAAAATGTCTTTAATGAGAATGCAGCTAGACTGTTACCTAAAAGATTAAGCTTTATTAGGCGGTCTGGGGAAGAACAATATAAAAGTTTTAACTAATCTAAGGGGTCACTTGCTTCACAAGAAGTGAAATAAGAATGGCTTTAAGGTTTGCTACATTTTTCTCCAGCAAACCACAGGAACTTTGGTCTTAAAAATGAAAGTAGCATTATGTTAAATGTACGTTGTTTCTCAGTTTGTGATTCCCTGTCTGTCCATTCATCCACTCATCCACCCGCACTAATACAGGGAATACAAATTCATCTTGTGACTGGAAAGTGAAAACAGATGTGGCAAACCTAGCCACTTGGGACTGCCTAAGATAGAATGGTTGTGCCTATTTTCTGTTGTGTACTGCGCGCCGGTATAGTGTGGCGTCTCCGGCTATGTTTAATTTATGCTGTACTGTGTATGTCTGTTCGAATCCTCCCCATTCGTTAGCATTGCTATTAAAACTGACTAAGTTGTATATTTTGAAGTTGAAAGGTAACGGTTTATGTCCTCGTAGTTTTCATTACTGTATGTTACAGCAGGGGCTGTTGGGAGGAGGACCTGGAAACGGTAGTCTCCCTCCAGTCCCCTCAACCAAAACCCCTGCTGCCCATCTTTGGAAACCCCTGTTGAGTGACCTGCTTTAAATATCAGTTATTTTTAATAAAGTGACAGTTGAGTGACCTGCTTTAAATATCAGTCTTTTTGAATAAAGTGGCAGTTGACTCTCAGACTGTGTTTCGTCTGGTTCTTGGGAGGATTTGGGAATATTGCCTGCTTCCAGCTTTGTACTTGGTTATTGCATTCTACCAGCAGAGATCCTGGGATTATAAAATTGCAGCTCCGCAACAATTGGTGGCAAGCGGCGGGATCCAACCGTACAGCAGGAAAAACGCTGTTTATACAATTGGAATTGACATACTGGAAAGCAGAAGGCAATTGATACAGATGCAGAAGTGAATGGGGACGGACTACACCATATTGAAACGGCAAACGTTAAAGGAGCTGTTGGAAGCCAGGGGTAAGATAGCCAGCAATAAGCCTAAAGCAAGACTTATTGCCGAGCTAATGGAAGGAGACCGAGCTCGTAGTGCTACACCCCCAGCAAACATGGAGGAGACCCCATCTGAACGAGAAATGAGGACAAGATTGGCATTTTGGCCCGCTCCAGTATCTCCAGAAATTATGACCATAATTTCGGCGGATGCACAGGAGTATGTGATGGCGCAAATGAATCAAGCCTTCTCACCTCAAGCAGAAACCGCTGCTGTTTCAACTGTGGGCCAGGGAAGGCCAAAAATACCACATCATGCATTTAAAACTTTTTGCGAGGATAAAGACGAAATAGATGGATTCTTGCAAGATTTTGAAAGATTGTGTGACTTGCATGATGTAGAGCAAGCTATGTGGGTACCTTTGTTGGCAGGCAAACTGTCTGGGCGTGCAGCAGACGCCTACCGGGCTGTACCCAGAGAGGACAGCAAGAATTTTGACAAGGTAAAGCAGGCGCTATTAGAAAGGTATGCCATTACCCCAGAGGCATACCGGCGCAAGTTCCGAGAATTGAAAAAAGGGGACAAAGACTCACATGCGGAGTGGGCACACAAGCTTGACCAAGCCTCACAAGGCTGGATACAAGCCAGCAGAGCTAACACCATGGAAGAGTTACGCCAGATGTTGCTACTGGAGCAGTTTTGTAATGGCCTGGCACCAGAGGCTCAAGAATGGGTGAATGACCGAAATCCTCACACCCTAACCGAAGCGGCACGATTGGCCGACCAACATTATGATGCTAGGAGGCATCATAAAAATAATAACCGAGGGTATGCAAAACCCAACCCGCAACCGTTTCCAGTTATTGCTCCTGCCCCAGCGACAGCACCATCCAGACCAGCACTTGTGGGACAACCTCCCCACTCCCGTTATAATGGCAGGTCCAACATCCAGTGCCATGCCTGTAAGCAATGGGGGCACATGGCCCGGGAGTGCACCCAAAACCGGAGCCGCAAGAACTGGAATCAGCTCCGGCAGAATATGGCCCCGCGGGCAGCTGCTCATTATTATCATGCAGAGCCAACTTTGCCAGGAGTGCCGCTTGAGTCGGCTGATGAACCCCTGGGCGTTTTGCACGATGTAATGTCCATCCATGCTACTGACAACCGACAACCACATTGCCAGACCGTGACTCTGGAAGGGAAAGAGGTACAGGGGCTACGTGATTCGGGCGCTACCTTAACTTTGGTTGCCCCGCATTTGGTGTCAGGATCAGCACATACCAGGGGATCGGTAGCAGTCCGGGTAACAGGGGGTGCCATGTACCGGCTACCAACTGCCAAGGTACATCTGAATTGGGGTGCGGGGGAAGGTATGGTGGAGGTGGGGCTGATGCACAAGTTACCAGCTGATGTTGTTTTGGGGAATGACCTGGGGCAAATGACTTCCGCTTTTGTGCCCCAAAGTCCTCGCCATGAGGCATATCCAGTGACCACCCGTCAGCAGGCTCGCACCACGGCTTCATCTTCCACACACTCTGAGGCTCAGGTAAGAGACAATGTACCCCGTGTAACCCGTGTTTCCTGGGATACCCCGACTGACTTTGAGGCAGAGGTTAAAAACGATCCCACGTTGCAAATTTATAAGGATAAGGCGACAGCTGGTCAGACAGGTTTAGAGGGAGAACAGTATGTATGGGAGAAAAATCTGTTATATCGTGTTGCTGAGCAGGTGGTAGGGGGGTCTGTACATGTGACTAATAAGCAGCTTATAGTGCCCCAGAAATACAGGCAGGAACTGCTTAGAATTGCCCACGATATTCCGCTGTCTGGGCATTTAGGGATGACAAGAACGAGGTACAGATTGACACATGCATTTTTCTGGCCAGGTATATCTAGAGATGTGAGACAGTATTGTCAGACATGTGACATTTGTCAGAGAGTGGGAAAAAGGGGTGACCGCCACAAAGCGAAATTGTGCCCCCTTCCCATTATTGAAGAACCCTTTAGCAGAGTAGCAGTGGATATAGTAGGACCACTGTCCAAGCCTAGCCCTTCCGGCAAGCGCTATATTCTGACCATTGTAGATTATGCCACCCGGTACCCGGAGGCTATAGCCCTTTCCAATATTCAAGCAGAAACGGTAGCCGAAGCTATGATGAAGATATTTTCCAGGATGGGATTTCCCCAAGAGATAATTTCGGATAGGGGGACCCAATTTACAGCCGAAGTGACCCACCAGCTATGGAAGTTATGTGGCATTAAGCCAATTGTAAATTCTGCCTATCACCCGCAGTCCAATGGGTTGTGTGAGCGCTTTAACGGTACCTTGAAGCAGATGCTCAGGACATTTGGGGAGTCCCATAAAGACTGGGAGAGGTTTTTACCCCATCTGCTTTTTGCGTACCGAGAAGTGCCACAGGAATCTACCGGCTTCTCTCCGTTTGAGTTATTGTTTGGGAGAAGGGTGAGGGGACCCCTAGACTTAATTAGAGAACATTGGGAGGGGGGGAGCAGTGCAGATGGAGTCCCCATTGTGCCATACGTGCTGGAGTTCCGGGACCGCTTGGAGGCTCTAACCCAAACCGTACGGGAGAACCTCCGGGCGGCTCAGCGGCGACAGCGCCGGTGGTACGATAGGGGAGCCAGAGACCGTAGCTTTCAGGTGGGACAGAAAGTTCTAATTTTGAAACCTGTCCACACAGACAAGCTACAGGCCACCTGGCAGGGCCCATACCAAGTGGTAGAACAGAGATGTGACACCACTTATGTGATCGGCCCGTGCTCTGGGGTAGGGAAACGACGCATGCTCCATGTGAACATGCTCAAACCCTATCACCAGAGAATAGAGGAGGTAGCAGCCATCTGTGCCCCAGCCACTGAGGATTATGAGAATCTGCCCTTGCCAGACATGTTAGAAAAGGAAGATTCTGCAGAAAACGCTACAGGTGCTACAGGTGTGCAGCTGGGGGAGCGGCTAAGTCTCCAGGAGCGTGCCCAGGTACAGGAGTTGATTGCGGCAAAAGGTGCTACCTTCTCCAATTTACCAGGGTACACTCTGTTAGCTACCCACCGAGTAGAGACCCCAGGACAGCTCCCTATGAGACAGACTCAGTATCGTATCCCTGAAGCAGTAAGGGAGCACATGAGGAAAGAAATTGAGGAAATGTTGCAGTTAGGGGTTATCGAACATTCAGATAGCCCCTGGGCATCACCGGTAGTGCTAGTACCCAAGAAGGATGGCACCACGCGGTTTTGTGTAGACTACCGGAGGCTCAATGACAAAACAGTGTCTGACGCCTACCCGATGCCCCGTATAGATGAGCTGCTAGATAGGATGGCAAGAGGCCAGTATCTCACTACCATTGATCTGTGTAAGGGATACTGGCAGATTCCACTAGCCGAGGAGGCCATCCCCAAGTCGGCGTTTGTCACCCCGTTTGGCCTCTATCAATTTCTGGTCATGCCTTTCGGGATGAAAAACGCTCCGGCTACCTTTCAGAGGATGGTAGATCGGCTACTGGACGGGTTCCAAGAGTACGCCTGTGCGTACTTAGATGATATAGCCATTTATAGCCAGACCTGGGCAGATAATTTGAAACATATTAGTGTGGTCATTGACCGTATTGGAGAGGCAGGGCTGACACTAAAACCTAGCAAGTGTCACATAGGGATGGCAGAGGTGCAGTACCTGGGTCACAGGGTAGGATGCGGACAGCAGAGGCCCGAACCGGCCAAGATAGAGGCAGTAGCTAAGTGGCCTACCCCCAGGACAAAGACACAAGTATTGGCGTTCCTTGGTACCGCTGGTTACTACAGAAAATTTGTGCCCAATTACAGCGCCCTGGCCAAACCCCTGACGGACTTGACCAAGAAAAACTTGCCATGACAGGTCAACTGGGCCCCAGAGTGTGAACAGGCATTCCATGAACTAAAAACTGCATTAACTAAGGCTCCTGTGTTAACTGCCCCTGATCCAACTAAACGATTTCTTGTTCACACAAACGCTTCCATGTTTGGATTGGGGGCAGTACTGAGCCAAGTGGGAGCTGATGGCGGAGAACATCCCGTAGCTTACTTAAGCAGAAAATTACTACCAAGGGAAGTAGGCTACGCCGCCATCGAGAAGGAATGCCTGGCCGTGGTGTGGGCCCTCAAAAAGTTACAACCTTATTTGTATGGACAACCATTCTCCTTGCTCACAGATCACAACCCGTTGGTGTGGCTACACAGGGTGTCAGGAGACAATGCCCGGCTGTTGCGCTGGAGTTTGGCGCTGCAGCCGTTTGATTTCACGATCCATTATCGCCCTGGAAAACAGAATGGTAACGCCGATGGGTTGTCCAGACAGACAGAACTTGAGAAATGATCTGTGAGCACTCCCCCGGACATCCCCAAGCCGATCCGTTGGGATCAGACTGTGTATGCCGGCTTGGTTTTGGGGGAGCATTGTGGCAAACCTAGCCACTTGGATGAATGATAGAATGGTTGTGCCTATTTTCTGTTGTGTAATGCGCGCCGGTATAGTGTGGCGTCTCCGGCTATGTTTAATTTATGCTGTACTGTGTATGTCTGTTCGAATCCTCCCCATTCGTTAGCATTGCTATTAAAACTGACTAAGTTGTATATTTTGAAGTTGAAAGGTAACGGTTTATGTCCTCGTAGTTTTCATTACTGTATGTTACAGCAGGGGCTGTTGGGAGGAGGACCTGGAAACGGTAGTCTCCCTCCAGTCCCCTCAACCAAAACCCCTGCTGCCCATCTTTGGAAACCCCTGTTGAGTGACCTGCTTTAAATATCAGTTATTTTTAATAAAGTGACAGTTGAGTGACCTGCTTTAAATATCAGTGAATAAAGTGACAGTTGAGTGACCTGCTTTAAATATCAGTCTTTTTGAATAAAGTGGCAGTTGACTCTCAGACTGTGTTTCGTCTGGTTCTTGGGAGGATTTGGGAATATTGCCTGCTTCCAGCTTTGTACTTGGTTATTGCATTCTACCAGCAGAGATCCTGGGATTATAAAATTGCAGCTCCGCAACAACAGAATCTTCACAACTGCAATTTACAAGGTTTTTGTTGTTGTTGTTAAGTTCATTTTAGGGAGTATTCTAGCACACAGATAGACATTTGAATGTGGTGAACCAGGAGAAATGTGAATTGTGGATAGTGTGTGGGAGAGTTTGTAGTTGTATGTGCAAGTGAGAGAGTGTGTGCGTTTTGGTAGTGTGTGTGTGTGCAGTGGCATACACATGATCCATGGGGCCCCGGCGCAAAAATTGATGTGTGGGCCCACTCTCCCCCCCCTCCCAGGGCCGCTACACATGGCGGTGGGCACCTGGTCGCACATACACTTAACCTCTTAAGGACACATGACATGTGTGACATGTCATGATTCCCTTTTATTCCAGAAGTTTGATCCTTAAGGGGTTAAAGGACCACTATAGGCACTCAGATCACTTCAGGTCAATGAAGTGGTCTGGGTGCCAGGTCCCTCTCGTTTTAACTCTGCAGCTGAAAACATAGAAGTTTCAGAGAAACTGCTATGTTTCACTGAGGGTTAATCCAGCCTCTAGTAGATGTCTCACTGACAGCCGCTAGAGGCGCTTCCGCGATTCCACTGGACGTCCATAGGAAAGCATTGAGTAATGCTTTCCTATGGGTGGTTTGAATGTGTGTGCGCATTCGGAGCTGAGAGGCGAATCGGGGCGGAGAAATCCCCAGAGCCAAGGGAGCCCGGCGCTGGAAAAAGGTAAGTGCTGACACTCACGTACAGACGCATAGACACTAGCTAACAGACACACACATTTACTGACAGACACACTCAGTGACAGACACACATACACACTCACTTACAAAACATACACTCTCACTGACAAACACACACACTTACAGACACACACAAACTAACACACTCAGTAACAGACACACACAGTAACACACACACTCACTGACACACAAACTAACACACACACTGACACTCACTAGAAGACACACACTCAATAAGAGACACACAAACACACTCAGTGACACACACACAGTAACACTCACTAACACACTTACTGACACTCACTAGCAGACACACACACTAACAGACACACACAAACTAACACACACAGTAACACACTCACTGACACACACAAACTAACTCACTCATTAACAGACACACACTGACACACACACACTAACACACATATACATACACACTCACATTTTTTTATTTTATTTTATTTACCTTTGGGAGTGCTGGGGGGATTTCCTGGGGTCCAGTGGGGCTGCCCGGCGGCCGGTCCTGCAGGCGGAGAAGGAGCACTTGAGATCCTCCTGTTCAGCTCCCTCGCGCGCCGCTTACTGATGCCGGAGCCGGAATGACGTCATATTCTGGCTCTGGCATCAGTGCGATGCGCACGAGGGAGCTGGGCAGAGAGTACTCAGGGGAGAATGTTCCCTTGCGAGCCTGCCCACCATCCCTCAGAGTGATGCCACTGCCAGCCTCGGGGGCCCTCTGGCGGCCAGCTCCTGGGCCCCCAGGAGAAGAGGCTGCCAATATGTGGCCACCCTGGCGTGCATACCAGGTCGCAGGGAGGCCGGGCACCCTGGAGGCTCGGGCCCGGTCGCAGACGCGACCCCTGAGACCGCTGTATGTACGCCAGTGTGTGTGTGTGTGTGTGTATATGAGTATGTGTGTGTGTGATAATGGATAGAAACTGTGGGTCGTAGCATGCATGTGGATGTTACTTTGTTATGTACCTCCTACCTAGAGATTTGTGCAGACCACATACAACCCTTCATGACAATGGTATTCCCTGATTGCAGTGGCCTCTTTCCTCAGAATAATGCACCCTAACAAACTGAAAACAATGCTCAGGAATTCTTTGAGGAACGTGACAAAGAGTTCAAGGTATTGCATTGGCCTCCAAATTCTCTATATTTCAATCCAGCTGAGCATCTGTGGGATGTTCTGGAAAAACAAATCTGAACCATGGAGAACCCACCTCGCAACCTCCATGATATAAAGGATCTGCCACTAATGTCTTGTTGCCAGATACCACAGGATGCCTTCAGAGGTCTTGTGAAGTTCATGCCTCATTGTATCAGAGCGTTTTGGCAGCACGAGGAGGACCTACATGATATTAGGCAGGTAGTTTTAATGTTTTGGCTGATCGTGGTATGATCATACTGCAAGACACACATACTGTATCAAACAGACTACACCCGCACATAAACAATACTGTTAGTTTTAGCCATCCTCTTTAAGTTTACAATTTATCAGCAAGAGGGTGGTTACCCTGGGTTCCAGTGGAGACCAGGTTGGCCGGGTACAGTGCAAAGTCAGGTGCTTTAGTGGGTTGATCTCCTCCCAACACAGTTTCTCCTTCACAAGCGCTGAGAGGAAGTGATCTGAGATCAGTTCCTCCCAGTGCTGGCACAAGTGAACTGAGGTCTGTCCCTCATCACATGCTGCAGTTGGGCAAAGGCAGATATCTGAATACATCCCACTGGACCCAGCATAGGCCAGCCCAAGAGGAGATCCACAGATTTGAGCAGGCTTATCCAGTCTGACAGTCTTACTTTCCATGCAAGGTCCATCATGTGCCATGCTTGTAACATGTGTCATCGATTGCTAACCCTTGGACTAGATGAGGTATAGATTTGCAGATATAGGAGTGTAATAACACTGGGTTAAATTAAGCTACAAAACAAAGACTTGTTTATGTACAAATATCTTGAACACTGGGGAGAGACGCCAAGCATATGTTAGCTGCACAGACAGATGGTAGTTTATCTAAAGGCATAGGTGACTGTTTGGCACATACTTGCTCAGACTCCTGAGAAAACTGACACTGGGCATGTTTGCCACTACCTACATAATCACTTCGGAGACTCTCCTGACACTTACAACAGATGCCAGTACCTCTCTAGTCAGCATTTATTTTTACTTTCCAATCTCTAATATTTCCTGCACTGGTTTAACACCTTGAGGACCAAAGCAATGTATATATTGTTTATTCTATGTATTTGTTCCACCGTAATCTTCCACTTCTTTTATTTAGTGCCCCCACAAATATCTTATTTTGATTTGATTTTGTAAAGGGCAAATGTGTATTTTTCTCGATTCATTATGTATTAAATATATATATACATATTTGGTTTCATTTATATATATATATATATATATATATATATATATATATATCTTGGATCTTGATAAAGACCCAAACGGCTCAAAACTTCGATTTGATTTATAACACTGTTGTATTTTGGATGACACAAATGCACCATTTGCATGATTTAAAGACCTGCGAGTGCTCCGTAAACTTTGCTTTTCTATATATCTAATGCGGGATTGCACCCAAGCAGATTTCCTATTCCATTTTTTTGTTGGCGGAGTTCCAAGTATAATTTTATATATATATATATATAGTTTGAATAAAATAAATAAATGAAAAAACACGAATTGCAGTATTGCTTTTAATATGTACACATAAAACACAAATTTAAAAAAATTTAAAATTAGATTTATTTGTAGTGAATGTACCTGTACATGCCAAAGCCTTTTTGTCAAGTATCCCTTTATCA